ATCAAGCTGTACAATCGTATATAAATATATGACAATCTTTTTTTGTTAAAGTACCAATTCCGTGAGGAAATTTGAAGACAAATAACCAAGATGACGTAATAGAAAGATTGCAATACTAGATTGCGTAAATACAAATATTAACAATAGATTTAGTGAATATGATATGATGAAAATGATTAGAATGTTTTTTGAAATCAGAAGGGTTTTGTGGATATGATAGTAATTTCAGTGGTTGAGATCATGTGTCAATTGAAGCTAGACCACCATGGAAAACCTGGAAGCACTAGACGGCCGTTTTGTCTCATTACGGGACTCGTCAGATAGTTACTCACTGAAGACATTGGTGGATGTGTCGCTCAATTTTGTGGACTGATTGAAGTTAGATCTTAACACTGTTGGATGCCGGCTAGCTCAGTGGTCTAGTGGTCAAGCGCTCGTGCGCGAGACTAAAGGCCCTGGGTTCGAATCCGGAGAGCGGGATTGTGGATGCGCACTGATGAGGAATCCCATAATAGGACGAAACGACTGTCTAGTGGTTTCATGTTTTCCATGGTGGTCTAGCTTCAGTTGACTCATGATCTCAACCACTGAAATTAAAATGTTTTTGTTAAGATAATTAAAGTTCATAGGGGTGTCAAATAATCAATTACAAACTAAAAATGTTTCTTAAAAAAACCAATAACCATCATTTACTATATCTTCTTAATCAATATAAATATTCAGATAAAATAAATAAGAAACATTGTATATCTTATAATGAATATATTACATTATCAGAAGGGGGTTTTATGGAGGTTTTAGTAATTTTTATATTTAAATTTATGAGTTGATTAAAGGTAGACTACCATGGAAAACCTGGAAGCACGAAATCGATAGTTCCTGTGTTCGAATTCTACGAATAGGATCGTGAACACACAGTTCAGTGCTTCCAGATTTTCCATGATGGTCTAACTTTAATGGACTCATCAATTCAATAACAGAATATGATACAGTTTATTAACTTACTTTTCATTTATATTTATTCGTTTACTGGATATATGACAATACGTTTTAAGAGTAAAACTAACCAAAAAAACAATTTTTTATACCGAATAATATTTCATATTAATTATAAGAACAATATTCGTTAAAAAAGAAAAAAGGTAGAAGAGAAAAGAAAAGAAAAAGAAAATCATTCCAATCATATTGTATGAATTTACTATTCAATAGGTTTGAATGTTCTTCGAATTCTAGCCAATCAAAATCATTTATTTTTGTTTTTTTATTTTTTTATTTTTGTTTATAATTGATATTTTAGTTCACTTGGTATTACTTTGCTTGAATCTTCTCAAATAGGATTAAACTCGTGTCCTAGATTCCACTGCTAGTCACTATCCATAATATTTGACAAGTAAGACCACACCTTTTATCTGAATAATTATACTTTATATTGATTAAAATAAATTAAAAGAACATACTCAGACGAAACAGCTTTCCAGTGTTCCCAGGTATTCTATAATTGTCTAGGTCATGAATAATATATAATTGATAAGGATTAATTATTTTTTTCTAGTTTCATTCTAATTGTTATGGTGATTTCATTAAATTATTTGAACATTCGACAGGTAATCAAAAATAAAAACAAAACAGAACAAGACAAAATGTCACTCAATTAATTCATTGTAAATAAACATAAATATTTGATCAGAAGGGGTTTTGTAGGGGTTTTAGTAATTTCCCAAGTTTTCCATAGTGGTTTAATTTCAATTGACTTATGATTTCAATGAATATTTGAATTTGTTTATTTTTCAACTATGTAGAAGAAGAAAAAATTTTAAAAAAATTTATTGAAATGACCCTGTTTTATGGATAAATATAAAGTGATTGGTTAAAAAATAATACCCTGTAGTAGTAGTTAAGAGAAAAATAAAAAAACATACACATTGTGTTAGATATACAGTGGAAATTTATTATCATTAATTAGTAGTTAAGTAAATTTACATGAAAAGTAAGTCATGTAGTGTACTATACTTGATTTTAAATGAAATTTATGTTGTTTCTTCTTTCTTTTTGTTTCATTTCAATAACTAACTTGATCAGATGATGATATCGTATTTCTTTTTTAAGTATGTCTTATTGTTGTTACTTGATAAATGTATATTTTAATAGTTAAGATCATGTGTCAATTGAAGTTAGACCACCATGGAAAACCTGGAAGTAATAGGCAGTCGTTTTGTCCTATTGTGGGACTCCTTAGCAGTGCATATCCACGATTCCGCCTAGCGAGATTCGAACCCGAGACCTTACTTACTTACTTACTTACTTACTTACTTACTTACTTACTTACTTACTTACTTACTTACGCCTGTTACCCTCCCCCATTCGGAGCATAGGCCACCGACTAGTTTTCTACAAACCACCCTGACCTGAGGATTCCTTTCTGGTTCTATCCAATTCTTGTTCATTCTTCTCATGTCTGTCTCCATTTCTCGGCGTAATGTGTACTTTGGTCTTTCTCTTGTCCTTTGGCCTTTAGGATTCCATGTAAGGGCTTGTCTCGTGACGCAGTTGGGTGCTTTCCTCAATGTGTATCCTATCCACTTCCAGCGCTTCTTCCTGATTTCTTCCTCAGCTGAGATATGGATTGTTCTCTCCCACAGTAGGTTGTTGCTGATTGTGTCTGGCCAATGGATCTGAAGTATTTGCGTAGATAACTGTTAATAAACACTTGTATCTTCTGGATGATGGCTTTCGTAGTTCTCCAGGTTTCTGCCCCATACAGTAGAACTGTTTTGACATTTGTATTGAAAATTCTGACCTTGCTGTTGGTTGACAGGTGTTATGAGTTCCAGATGTTCTTCAGTTGTAGATAAGCTCCTCTTGCTCTGTCGATCCTGGCCTCCATATCTGCATCAGATCCACCGTGTTCATCAATGATGCTGCCCAAATATGTAAAGGTTTTTACGTCTTCCAAATCTTCTCCGTCAGTTGTGATTGGATTGGTGCATGCTGTGTTGTATCGGAGAATCTTGCTTTTCGCTATGTGTATTTGAGATCTACTGCTGCCGAGTTATACCTATATATTGAATTGGTGTTAATAATCACTGGTTAACGAATAGGTTAATTTGAACGCCGCCTTGTGTAAAACGCTATATAAACACGGTTATTTTTAAATACTTATCTTTTTTAAAAGTAGGCAGTAAAATCCAACTTAAGGCCCCGTCGTGGCGCTGCAAGATAGTAGGGACAAACGTGCTAGCCAACTTAAGCGGTCGACTGAGATAGGACTAATTATGCACTCCGTTTTATCCTTGATTAAATCAGTTTCCAAGTCCGGGCTCACTTAACTTCATCAGGCTATGCGATATGTTTATTTATGTATAAGAACTGCAGAAGTTCTTTGGTCTGTGTAATTCATGTATGCAGATATATGAAAAGGATATATGCGTGGTGTTGTACAAAGGAAACGTTAGCTGAAATATTGTTCGCCCTATATCTAATAAAATCAGAAGCCTAATCTATCAGGTCCAAGACAAAGTAAAAGGATATGGTAGCAAATACTAGGAACAGACGACCAACTACCTCCCTTCTTATGTGTGTATCAGGAAGTACTAGAGCAATAGCCACAAAATGAATGATATAATTCATAATTGAAATCTGAATACTGAATTTATCAACTATCATATATGAAAGTCTTTTCCGTGTGATTAAAATGATCAGTAATATATACTAAACATAAAATTATCATCAGATGGGTTTTGTGGATATTAAAGTAATTTCAATGGTTAAGATCATGAGTCAGTTGAAGCTAGACCACCATGGAAAACCTGGAAGAACTGGACGGCCCTTTTGTGACTGGCTTCACGAGGTATATCTAGTGAGAAGTAGTGACCAGTGGAGTTCAATCAGGTCTGTTGTGAGATAGTAACTCACTGAAGACAATGGTGGATGTGTTGCTCAATTTCATGGACTAGTTGAAGTTAGACATAAACACCGTTGGATGCCGGCTCAGTGGTCTAGTGGTTAAGTGGTCGCGCGCGAAACCAGTAGGCCCTGGGTTCGAGGTCGTGGATGCGTACTGCTTGAGGAGTCCCACAATGGCCGTCCAGTGCTTCCAGGATTCCCATGGTGGTCTAGCTTCAACTGACACATGATTTTAACCATTGATAAAATTATCATTTTATTGTATAGATCTATAATATTCATGAATATTTCTCTTATTTGTTTGAAAACAATTTTCATAGAGTTCATATCTAATCCATGTCAAATTCATTATACTATATTATATTGGATCATTGGATATATAATTATGATAATATTAGGATTTTTTATATTGAATCAACTTAATTTCATTGAACATCATTGTCAAACTTTATATAAAAGGATAGAAAAGAAAAGTAATCTATATAATGTTTCTGATTTACCATTTATATTTATTGGAGGTCATACAAATACAGGTAGATTAGTTTTATGCATTATGTTATTGATAAAAGTGTAAATACTGCCATACTATTTTATTTGTTAATATATCAATTCAATAATGACATGCATTGATTTAACTAGTTATGACCAATATGATAACATTTGAAATTCATTACTTACTCCTCTTACTCCTCATGGAGAAGCATAGACACTCACCAGCATTCTCTGCCCAACTTTGTTCTGAGCAATCCTTCATTCATCTGGTTAATGTTTTTGGCGAGTTAGTTTTCTATGGGATGAGGTCTCTAACCTCATGTTCAACCCTCCTCCTTTATCCGAGCTTGGGACCGGCAGTAATCCCAGATGGGCTTCAGGCGAAGGATCGATAGTTATTCGCTAAAAAACGTTTAAATATCAGTACCATTAAGAAATTATAAGCCTTGGGAAATCAGACTTTGATCTGATCACTTTCCTATAATATTTTTCTAGGTACTGATCTAATGGGAAATATTCTAAATACTCATTCAATGGTTCGTTGCAGACCTAAACCAATTATAACAAAATTCTTATTGCGATACAGAAAGAACAGACTACATTCAATGGAGCGATTAGTAGAATCTGGTATCACTGCAACCGTGTTAAACAATGCTGTGGCTGCATTTATTGCAACAATAATCAAAGAAATGGGTCCAAGGACACCTAGACTATGCCACAATGATCCAGAATCATTTGATTATCTTGAAGACTTAAATATCTTGTTTCCAAAAGGAAAGTTTATTCACATAGTCCAAGATGGAAGAGCCACTATTGCTTCAGAAATAGCGTAAGTTTTCAAGTAAACTTAATTTGCTTTATATATATTTAAAATGACTAATTATAACACAGTGGTGATTAATCTCATATAGCTGATCAATTTTACAGAATTATGAGTTTACATTAGTGACGTTCCATTTTCTATAAGTTGAGTTACACATTCTACACAATGGGATTCAGCCCTGATTTTAATATTCCTTTGGTGTTCGTTATGAATAACATGCGATGTTCAGGAATATATCACAGCACAACTTATATAAACATGCTTATGATAAAATGTCATTGTATCTTGAGATGGTGGAGAAGATTTGTAGCTCAGGTGGGGGACTTTGTTGTTCTTGACCAAAACCATCCAGTTCAGAAAACAAAACTCCATCAAAGTGATTGTATCATTTAGGTATGATATATTACATAATTAACAGTTTCATTAGCTGTTATTCTAAAGAGTTTAGTCATTGCAAATTCATAATTATATTTATTATAATTACATAATTATAGAATTATTTTATCCACTAACATTCCCCATTATTATCAATCTAATGATAATGTTTAATAAAGACAAATTTACAAATAAAATCAACATTCATTCCTTCATTGTTTATTTTTCAGTAGAAACATCAATTCTAATTATACATCTGAAAATATCACAGAAGCAATTTTAACTTGGGATGATGTAACAACACAAATATTAGAGGATTGTGAAAACATTGGTAGTGAAAAATGTTTAACTGTACGTTATGAATGTTTAGTATTGAGTCCACTCAGAGAAATCCAGAAAGTTCTCCGTAAGTACATATTTATATTTCGTAACTTTACTAAGTATACATAAATACAATCACCAACCATATATATATTCTGCTTAGAATCCCACCAATTTAAATTGGGCAACTGATTACTTAATCCAAAGTACGTTATTAAGTGTATGTCATTATTATTTACAGCTTTCAGTATTCATGAGTCTATTAGAGCCACACCAATATTGAAAACCTGGAAAGCTGGACAGCCATTTCGTCATGGCATGGGACTCTTTGGAACTGCGCATCAACGATACCACACTAAAAAATGCTCCAAATGGGACATTCGGTCTCGCGCACGAACGCTTAACATCTAGTCCGCTGAACCGTTATCTAATAGTGTTTATCTATAACTTCAACCAATTAAAGAAACTAAGCCACTATCCATGAGTTTAACTAATAAACTACTACAATCTCCACATAACACGCTATCCGATAACACTGATCATATGCGCACTAGTGACTGTCTTCAAGATTTATTTCATGGAGTTCTAGTAAGAAACCGTGACCAGTAGATTCCGACCGTGTCTATTGTAAAGGCAGTTGTTTACCAAAGGCAATAAAGGACGGCCGCATAATATCATGGATTGGTTGAAATTAGACACTGAAAAAATTAGACGCCGGCACAGTGCTTTGGAATTTAAACGTTCGTGAGCGAGACCGAATATAGTGACTTGCAGTCACGTGTGCGCGTTATGGATGCGCAATGCTGAGAAGGTCCATGATAAAACGAAACGGTCATTAAGTACATTCCCGTTTATCATAGAAGTCTAGATTCAATCGACTCATGAATTCAACTATTAAATTACAACAATCTACACAAAACATCCTTCATCATAACATTCGATTTCTCAATTGAGAATTATCGTTTCGTCAGCAGATAATGACGAAAGGCATTTCAATATACAGATTCCATAGTTTATGGTCGCCAGAAATATAACTTGTGTATCACAATTTAAGGTATAACAACTTATTACAATCACATTTAATCTCCCTCTCTGTCAATGAATTCATTGTATTTATCTATAAAATCAGAGAAAGCAACAATGATTACATTCAATCATTAAGGTAAATCCAACTGATAAATCTGCTAAATATCAACCTAATTACAGAAGAATACAGCCAAACTGCAAACTGGACATTTTGGAAGAGTATAATGATGAGATCATCAAATTTTCAACTAACAAACACGTTTAGCATTAATCATAACATTGAGGATTTGTAAATCAGATTTAAGCACACTGAATGATATGAGTAATTCAAACAAAAGAATGCTAATTAAAAACACACCTCTAAATACGAATCACTTTCATATTGAACAGTTCCATCCCAAAATAAATAAATCTTCCTAACAATGTTTTTCGCTTTCCCTCTTCGAAAATTACTTTCCCGTTCTTATTTCTGTTTCATCGATATTCTACTTATTATAAATCAGTAGTCTCAGTTGTATTTATCAATTTGTGTCATTTGGAAATCTTAATGTCTTACTTCGTCACTAGAAAACGAAGTTCCTTGAGATTTACTTCACTACTTTTAATTTTTACGAACAGATTTCTGAATATTTGCTAGGCTAAATCTCCCTCATGTTCTTTAATTTAAACTTGGTTTGATTTGAACTACCTGCCCATGTTCTTTTAATAGTAGATTATTTTCCATTAAGTAATTCTTTAACACTTGACTCATCTTTTCATCACTTCTATAATTCTAGTCAGTCCTGTATTTATAACCATAAATCCGTGTTTATTATTAAAGTTTTCCCATGACAGTAGTTCCAGCTATATAAGCTTAATCTGAATAGTTCACACTTCAGTGTCTTCGTATTCCAACTACATTATATATTTTTGGCAATAAATCTCCCCACATTCACATAAACCTATAACGGCATGATGACATTTTCTAATATTTCACTCACTCGCTCACTCACCAGTTCAAAATCTCTTCAGCCTTATATCATTTACGATTGCTTATACATTAATTATCAACTACACTTTTTTCCTTTTTAGATTTTCTCGAATTGCCATGGGATGAAAAACTACTTAAGTATGTAAAATATCCTCTTGATAAAATCATATTAAAATGATAAGTCAGCAGAATGCTTTTTGCATATGAGAAATTATACTGAAGCAAATAAGATGGAAACTTTCTAAGTAGGAGATGAAATTGTCACATGGATATCTCAAACATTGAAGAATAGTGAGAAGATATTGTTCAACATCATATTCAGCTATATTAAACAAGAAATTTCGAGTTTGAATGATTCATGAAATGCTTAAAAGATGAGGCGGTAAAGGTACTAATCAATAAATCGAATGGACTGAAATAAGTAGTTGTGAAATTTGCCGATGACATGACAACCAGTTTGAAAGTTTACTTAATGTTGATGAGAATTCCAATAAACTAACAGTTACTGATTAATGTAGAAAGGAATGTTTTTATTAATATGTAAAAGCAAAAAGTAAAAGAAATACCGAAAAGTTTAGAAATCGATGAAGAAGAGGAAAAAACATGTCATTTGCATCACACATTAGTCACAGCCATGATGATGACGAACAGAGGGTGAGCAAACATATCAATAATCAAAGCTTTCACAAGTCATGTTTCTCACCATAGCTTTCGTTACATTAACGTGTGTGTAGAGGAAATGCACGTAAAAAATTAGGTTATTTTAGTAAAATATAGAAAAGCATCATTTATATTTATGTCCAACCAGTTTTCAAATCCAACAGTCGTTTTTCTATGTCATTTGATAAATCATTTCATGATGTCCATTTTCACTAAACACAGTTAAGTGGTTTACAATTCAGTAGCTATTCACTACAGTTTCATCACTACTTCAATCATGGATATGCGATATCACTTGTGCAGACTGGCACCATCCTACGAATATGAATGTGATTTTAACACACAATCATACTATCAAACTAACTTCTAGAAACTCAAGTCACGTTATGCAAACTCTTCTCATCCCATCATGGACAGTTACAATAAATAGATAGTTGGTAATAATACGTCCTTCATTTTGAAAACAACATCAAATCAGACTCAAATGAATCATTACAAAGCAATTAGGTGCCACGTGTATGGGAGAAACTACTTATGAAACAGGAATATTCAAGGCAAAACAATTTAGTTTAGACATGATTTACTTTGAACATATTTAATTTGTTCTTGCACTACAATATAATTTGTTTCACGTTATTTCACATATCAAATCCGCAGATATGGAACTGACTCCAGTCGAACAGATCAATTAATTCACAACAATTCTCTAGATGCATGGTCGAAAGCAAATTCACTCCTATCAGAAGAACACATCGAATTCGTGAATGAGAATTGTTTGGCACTAAAACAGTTGGGTTATCTTACAGATGAAATGCCACCGAATTATGCTACAATCTGCAACATCTAAACTATTCTCAAAAAAACAAATAGTCAGTAACAAGTTGAAATATGATACCTTGAATTTGTATCTATGAGAAAACATCTCTATTCATTAGTGTGCATTGTGTGTATTGTGTTTATTGTGTTTACGTAGAAACTGTATTTTTGTACACATTGATGCAATAAATATGTGATTTCATGGGAAGAAATAGTCGTTTGACATGTTACAACACAGGGTTATTTTCTAAGATAAACAATAAATAAATTGTATTGATTTACCAGTATTGTCACTAAGCGAAATCATTTTCGTTTCGGTGAAATAAACGACAGACCGACTCACATGAAAAGCTTCCTTCAACAATCTTCCTTCAAACAAGAATGGAATAACGAATTAATAGATTGAGAATTTACAGTTATTATTGAAATAATAACAGAACCACCAATGGACAATTAATGCCAAAAAGAACAAGTATTCACTTCCCTTTCTAATGATCACAAGAAACAGGAAAGATTCATTAAAATCATTCTGAAAATCAACCCTTCAATCAAGAGGAAAAGCAAAGAATTAATCTGTTTATATAATTTCAAATTAGAATGAGAAGTAGCAATTACTATGAATATACAAGATGAACTTGGTTAAAAGTTAATGTGGATACACATAACAAATATTGTTGAGTTAATGACCCAGGAAACCCCGAAATAATTGAATAGGAGATGATAGGTTATCAATTCACAGTGAAGACATTTCTCGATAACTATGATTATAAAGAATCTCTAATGATCAGTAAGCAACTAGACACTTCAGTGATGAAGAATAACGTGAGTTTACAATCAAGCTACATATAGAACGAAGAACTGTGAAAAAATTAATTCGAAAAACAACTGATGCTATCGAACAGACGTAATAAGGGAAAAGTAATTTGACACTGTGATAGTGAACACTCGAGTATTTAGTGAGAATTCGCTTTCGTTACATAAGAGATTACTGGGAATCAATAGGGCAATGACAAATAAGATTGACTTAATTAATGCATGACATGCAATACGACCATATTCAATATTTGAAAACGTCAACTTACTGACCTGTTACAGAAACGTGTTTCGAATAGTTCACTAATGTAAGGACATTATACTGTACATATTACAGTATAGAGGATATTAAATGAAAACAAAGGTAGGTTTAAATATTTCGTGTACGAATTGAAGTACAATGGTAAAAATAAATAAATCCACTTAAAATATATAAAAGTTAAATGGTCTTCCAATTCATAATAAAATCACAGTACCTGATGAGAAACAAACCGCTCAAATACGAACTAAATTGTCTGCAATGCAACATCAACCTTCATAAAATATTTCCATTTTCCAACGTCAAAAATAATACGAACTAATGTAAACTAAGAAAACTACGCAAAACATCTAGGTGAAAATACGCAACATACACTTTATAATATTCTGTTGTCATTTCATCCATACATTACATGATGGATATCAACAATTCAAAAGTAAATAAAATCACACAATGTCGAGCACGTCTCACACATAATATCAATCCATGAAATGAATTAAAACGGTCTAACCGATTACAACTATGTACCTGAAAATCATATCCAGATATGATTTCAATGCCAGAATATTCAGTGGAACAATCGTTTTATTCACTAAATCCAAATCAGGAAGATAAAACAATGCAAGTAACAGTATATGTATATTTATTGACTAGGGTACAGACATTTAGCTGTAGTCATCAATAGCTGAATCAGTGTAGAAGTATTACAGAGCCTAACAGCAGTCATAATTCGTCACATAACACCCATCTCAGCATCATTTTTTCGTAATGTTCACATCGTCTACAACAGGCTCGTCCACCGCAGGCTCGTCCACCACCTCCACATCCTCCGTTTTCTTTTCACTCTTCGCTCCTACCGGATGAACCTTACGATCGTCCTCCTCATCCTCATCCTTTTCATCCTTATCATCATCATGATTATGTTTATCTGCATTTTTCACTGATTTATCAACCTTTGCATGCTTCTCCTTTTTAGCAGTGGCGGTAGTAGTGCCATTTGCAGCAGCACAAACATAATCATATAAGACAGTCATGCAGAGTAGAAACAGTGTCAACTTGAGGAACATGATAGAATAGTTGAACAGATTGAACGTTAACTACAAACGAAATGATTTCACCACTACACATAAGCATATATATGTACGTGTATATCATATGGACACACCAAATCGATGGTAAATCGAACCAACTAATGTTAGTGTATGAAACGTGCAATTGAGCATTTTTGATCAAAATATCTGAAAACATTTATTGGAAAACATAGTTGTCATTCTCATGAATCGATTTGACAATCAAAAATATTTTTTCACCCTACAATGATTTTCTATTGTTTTTCCACTAGTAAGTTCAGTCTTTTGTTGTGAATAGAAATCGTCATGGTAAGGCGTGCTGAAAAGACTTTTAGTGTCAGTGTTTTATGCTGAATATTTGATGTTTAGTTTATGTCTACGGTTTCTTCAGATTAGACGATTGTGCGTGTGATCAGTTGATTGAGGTTCGTTCAACGTTATTGTAGAATGTAATTTAACATATTACACATTGTTCAATGGAGTACTTTGAAAATCTTTTTAACAGAACACCCATTCACAGACATTAATGTTTTAGTGTTGAAACGAAAAATGTCGTCTTCGAACTTGTTTCTAAATATACTGGATCACGAGAGGTCGATGAACCACATTACCGATCAAAAAATTTCAAGAAATTTCTTTTCTTTGAATTACTTAATTAAAGTGATATTAAAAAATCTTAGTCCCCATTGGTAAGCCGACCAACAATGTGCAGACATCAATATGGTTATGTAACAGAAAGTCATGAGAAAGCGAAATAGAGAAGGAAGAGCGTTGAAAAATTATTAAGGATTATTTATTAAACATTTATCATCATGTCAGAGAAGAGCTAGTCACGCTTTTCTTCTGCTTACATCGGTCTGGTGGAAAAAAAATATAATGCCTTGCACTTGAACTTGTGAAGACTTTTCTTTCTTGTAATCGTAAGTTCCGAGAAATATGTTCAGAAAAACTAATCGAAACTATTCTTTCAGTTCTTCCTACATACTTGCCACTTGAGGTACTATAGTATTCTAATTATAGTATGAATTAGGAATTCCAGGATTAACGCAATTGAATTAAGAAGACACAGGCACAACGAATGTACTGTATTTAGAATTCGAAATCGAGCACTCAACAAGTACAAAAGAATCATTAGTTAATTCAAACACCAAAGGTACATTCGCATTCATATCTGTAATTGAAGTTGACTTTGGATTTAAATTTACCATATTCATTTTGTTTAGTGATATTTTACATGCCTCTCGATTGCTTTGCTACTTCAACAGCTCTCATCCAGTCAAGATGATCACATTGAAGTATGAAAGAATTAATTAATTTGAGGCACCCAATTTTTATGAGGTGTTTCCCTATGAATATAATCAAGTTTCATCGTTTTCCCACTATACATTAAGGTTTATAAAAAATCCAGATTCATTAATTCTTTCATACTTCAATGTGATCATCTTGACTGGATGAGAGCTGTTGAAGTAGCAAAGCAATCGAGAGGCATGTAAAATATCACTAAACAAAATGAATATGGTAAATTTAAATCCAAAGTCAACTTCAATTACAGATATGAATGCGAATGTACCTTTGGTGTTTGAATTAACTAATGATTCTTTTGTACTTGTTGAATGCTCGATTTCGAATTCTAAATACAGTACATTCGTTGTGCCTGTGTCTTCTTAATTCAATTGCGTTAATCCTGGAATTCCTAATTCATACTATAATTAGAATACTATAGTACCTCAAGTGGCAAGTATGTAGGAAGAACTGAAAGAATAGTTTCGATTAGTTTTTCTGAACATATTTCTCGGAACTTACGATTACAAGAAAGAAAAGTCTTCACAAGTTCAAGTGCAAGGCATTATATTTTTTTTCCACCAGACCGATGTAAGCAGAAGAAAAGCGTGACTAGCTCTTCTCTGACATGATGATAAATGTTTAATAAATAATCCTTAATAATTTTTCAACGCTCTTCCTTCTCTATTTCGCTTTCTCATGACTTTCTGTTACATAACCATATTGATGTCTGCACATTGTTGGTCGGCTTACCAATGGGGACTAAGATTTTTTAATATCACTTTAATTAAGTAATTCAAAGAAAAGAAATTTCTTGAAATTTTTTGATCGGTAATGTGGTTCATCGACCTCTCGTGATCCAGTATATTTAGAAACAAGTTCGAAGACGACATTTTTCGTTTCAACACTAAAACATTAATGTCTGTGAATGGGTGTTCTGTTAAAAAGATTTTCAAAGTACTCCATTGAACAATGTGTAATATGTTAAATTACATTCTACAATAACGTTGAACGAACCTCAATCAACTGATCACACGCACAATCGTCTAATCTGAAGAAACCGTAGACATAAACTAAACATCAAATATTCAGCATAAAACACTGACACTAAAAGTCTTTTCAGCACGCCTTACCATGACGATTTCTATTCACAACAAAAGACTGAACTTACTAGTGGAAAAACAATAGAAAATCATTGTAGGGTGAAAAAATATTTTTGATTGTCAAATCGATTCATGAGAATGACAACTATGTTTTCCAATAAATGTTTTCAGATATTTTGATCAAAAATGCTCAATTGCACGTTTCATACACTAACATTAGTTGGTTCGATTTACCATCGATTTGGTGTGTCCATATGATATACACGTACATATATATGCTTATGTGTAGTGGTGAAATCATTTCGTTTGTAGTTAACGTTCAATCTGTTCAACTATTCTATCATGTTCCTCAAGTTGACACTGTTTCTACTCTGCATGACTGTCTTATATGATTATGTTTGTGCTGCTGCAAATGGCACTACTACCGCCACTGCTAAAAAGGAGAAGCATGCAAAGGTTGATAAATCAGTGAAAAATGCAGATAAACATAATCATGATGATGATA